CCCTCCCTCACGCTCTCCCTCTCTCCCACCACGTCAGCCCCTCCCTCCTCACTTTCCCCTCCTTCCTCCCTCTCCTCCCTCTCTACCTCCCCGTCTTCCTCCTCCTCTTCCTCCCCCCCCTCATCCGGCCCCCCTCCCTCCGTTGCCTCCTCTGCCTCCCCCCCCTCATCCGGCCCCCCTCCCTCCGTTGCCCTGTCCCTTTCTCCCACCTCCTCTGTGGCCCCGCCCATCCTCCCCCTCTGCCTGGAGCTCGGGGCTCTGGGGGAGGCGGAAGGAGTGAAGGAGGAGTCTGGGTGTGAAGAAGAGGAGCTGAAGCATCAGATCACTGATGACGATGATGATGATGATGATGAAGGCAGTGCCCCGCCCACCAAGCTGGTTCTGCTCCAGGTAGGTCCGCCTTAACGAGCCTGAGGGACTACTTCCTGAGGCTGTATCCTTCCACTAACTCCTCCTCTGAATCCTCTCATTCAGACAGACCACGCCCCTTCCACTGCGTCTCCTAGGCAACACAAGGACAGAAGCTCCGCCTCCCTGCACCTGGATGCTCCAGATAATCAGTCCACCAATCACGTGCAGGGACAGCAGCCATTGGTCCTGCCTGTGCCTGAAGCTCCGCCCCCTGCTGAGATTTCCCATCATGCCCTGGACCTGCCGTCGGTGTTCCCCACCAAGGCCGACGCGTCGTCCTTCACTGGTTCCGACCTGAGCGCGGTAGCCATGGACACCGCCTCCATAGCAACAGCCCCAGTGAAAGAGGAGAGGAGGCGGAGCTACGACTCAGAAGAAACCCACATGGAGGCGGAGCCTAGAGGGGAAGAGCTGGACATCTCCTTAGACCTGATCTCTGACCTCATCACAGAGGAGGCGGGACCAGCAGAGGCCCCGCCCCCTCCAGCAGCGTCCGGCCCGGCCGTGTTCCCCACCGGGGTCCGATACGTGGTCCCGCCGCAGCCCTCCCCCTCCTCCTCCTTCCTGCCCTTCCCCCACCCGCTGCCCTCCTCCTCCTCCCGCCGCCTGGCCTCCATCACAGACTTCTCCCCAGAGTGGTCCTACCCAGAGGTGAGACCCGGATCAGAACCATTAGAACCCGGGACCCGTTTCATGTTCTGATCGCTTCTCCATCTGCTGTCTAACAGCTTCTAGGATAGATTTCTAGTATCAGAGGTCCAGTTTGGTCCAGATCAGCATCCAGGTGCTGGTACCGGGTCAGGATCCTGACCCGGTAGCTCTAGGTTCTCCCAGAGTTTCCCTGGTTCTGGTTCTGTCAGGCTGGTACTGGTATGGATACCAGTTTCACCTGCAGCTCTGCTCTTCTGTCTGCAGGGTGGAGTGAAGGTTCTGATCACCGGGCCCTGGAGCGAGCCTTCGGGTCGGTACTGGTGTGTGTTTGATCAGAACACCGTCCCTGCTACCCTGATCCAACCCGGAGTTCTGCGGTGCTACTGTCCAGGTAAGAACCCGCCTCGGTACCAGCAGAGCCGGTTCACAACAGCCCAACAGGACCAGTTCTAGTTTATAGATGAGGTGACCGTCCCAGCTGTTCTGATCCAGACCCAGACAGGAACCGGATCGGACTCTAATGAAAACCGTGGATGGGTTCTGTTAGAGGTCGCCACCTGTTGCTGGTGTCTGAAGGAACCTCAGATCTCCAGAACCATCAGAACCAGCACCGACCTCTCTGGGTTCAGATGGACAGATGAAGATATTTCTCTGCTGGTTCTGGAGAACCGGACCTGCTCAGGATGTCTTCTACCTGCTGAGGTGGACCTCCTAACCCTAACCCATGAGCTGTGATGGTCCAGCTGCTCAATCAGCTCCTTCCTAACAGACGGCTCAGCCTCAGCCAGAACCCACAGAGGTTCTCTAAACCCGTTAGAACCTCCAGAATGGTTCTGAGACCCTGGGTTGGTTCCTGTTATCCAGCAGAACCTCTGAATCCACTGTTAGCTAAAGGTCCAGTTGGAGCTTTAGAACGTGTCAAAGAGAAGGAACCATCCGTTCCTCTGAATGTTGTTAGAGAATATTATCCATCTATTCGCTCCAGTTAAATAAACCAGATTCACTCAGTCAGCATTTTAATTTTCTGTGCAAAGAAAGAGAACAAGATGGCGGCATGTCCAGCTCTGCTCTGGACAGACAATGATACTGAGTCAGGTGGTGAAGGTCTACACTTACCATCACTCCAAACAATAACAGACAGCTGGAGAAAACAGTCAAATGTTCTGAATGATCCCTGAGAACCAGTCTGGGTGGTTATGGGGGGGTTATTTTCATCCCAAACTCTCCCTGGAAGGATAAACACCTCCGCTCTCTGAGAAACCTCGCAGCTCTGAGGCCTGAATGAATGAACTCAATAGAATATAGATTTATTTTCCCACCACGGTGATGATGATGATGATGATGATGGTGATGGTGATGATGATGGTGATGATGATGGTTGTTGCTGGTGAAGATTCTCAGTCATCCAGGTCTTTATATTGGAGGGAAAAAAAAAAAACTCTCCACAGACACATGGCCCAACAGAGAAGAGCGCCCTCTGCTGGACAAGACTCTGCTGTACATCTACACCAGATGGACAAAGGACATTCTGTGGAGGAGCAGAATGTTCACATTCTGGACAAAGAAGACAGGTGGTTAGAGAGGAAGGAAGAAGAACCAACCTTAAATAGAGGGGGGGTGCATTCCTTCCGCTATTGTTGAGCCATGATGGTGGTTTTGGACATAAGGAACCAGTGTCCGTGTTTCATCTTAAAATGATAACCTGAGAAGAAGGTGCAGTTTTGGCTCATAAACAGCTGTCAGACCTCTGTAACCCCACCTTCTAAGCTAACCAGCTCAGCTAGCCTCCACAGGAACTCCCACAGAGGTGTGACCTCTCCCCCCCGCTGTGGTTAGAACAGTAAAGACCACCACACACAGGATTTCTCTCTTTTCCATGACCTACCAGGGAGTCTACTCCAGAAGAGGTGCCCACCATGGAGCTCCAGGAAAAAGGCCCAGATCTCCAGAATGACCAAGGATAAGTCATGATGGGGGACTTTTCAGAACCAAACTGCTGCAAAACACAACTTTTGCAACACATTTCTCTGAGTTTCAGAACTTATAGAGCCAGACTGGAGGAGAAAACCTCCTGAAGGTCCCTTAGTGTGAGCCTCATGGGAAAAGAAAACCCCCGTTTGCTGTTAGCCTGCCTTGCTAAGCCGCTGCTGGATGAAACTCAAGCCTTCCAAATGAACAGAGGTTTGCAGGTCTGGCACCATTAGGGACAGAACAGACAATATGTCTTTGATGATGCTGATCATTTCATGTGTTTACTGATGAGTAAAGACAAAGCTAACAGGATGGACTGCATTTAGAGAGTCATTTAGTGGAATCCTGATGTCTATTCGCTGCTAGCTA